GACGCAGAGCGGCGTCATGACGGCGACGATGTACCACTGGCGTAGAGCATGACAAAGCCAAAGAGGAGCACGCAGCTGACAAGCGAAAAGAATGAAGAACGAAATGTACTTGGGGTACCGGCGCCGGTTGTCGTAGACCTTGACATCCACATAGTCGGGCGCGTCCCCTTCGTTGGCCACGTTGATGGTCTCGACGACAAAGTCTTTGAATTCGGGGTTGGGGTACTCGACCTCTTTGGCTTGGAGCAGGTCCCACTCGACGAGGAGCGAGTACTGGTAGCGCGTCCAGCGCTTGAGCACACTTGGCGCCCAGACGAGCGCGACGAGGAGGCCGTAGATGCCCATCGCCTGCATGTACGACGTGTAGTCGATGTGGCGCCAGAGCACCCAGAGGAGGACGCCGACGATGCACGGGGTGCTCAAGGACGCGCAGTAGAGGCGAATAAACGCCGTGTAAAACGCAATGCGTAGGCCAAAGTGGTCTTTCGTGCGCAGTAAAAACAGCTGCCGCGTCGACGCCGAGAGGGCCTCCTTGTACCACGACGACGTGATGAAGTCCGACATGCTAGAGATGAGCCACATGCGATAGTACGACAAGGTGATCGTGTGGTGACTACCTCGGGTCGTGGAGCGGAAAGACGTCGTGGATGATGGGGTCTTGGTTGTTTTCAATGCCGCGGAGACCCGCGCCCGGCGGCTTGTCAGTCGACGGGCGTGTCAAGATGGAGGCAAACGCAGAGAGCCGATCGGCGGCGGTGAGGGCCTCGGCGTTCGCCCCGTACTCGTCCCCGAGCGATTTGGCCTACAACAATGGTTCAGGACGAGACATGTATTGCTATGCGTACGTCTTCTTCCGAGTGGTACTCGATGATGCGCTCCATCTTCATGAGCTTGTCTTCGCGGGCGAGGAGCCATAGTGGCGCGCTCAGTAGCAAAATGATCTTGTCGGTCGAATTGCGCGAGTTGGCCATGACGGTCACGTGGATACCGGCTTGGAGAATGCTCGAGAGGATCGTCTCTTGCTGCTTGTACTCGGTATCGGTAATGTCTTCGGCGTTTTTGAGAATGAGCACAAATTCGTACTCGAGGCGCGGCTGCAAATTCAGCATGTGGATCACCAGCGTCGGCAGCCAAAGGCATTCGAGCTCCGGCGACACTAGTCCAGTCCCATCAATATATGCGATCAAGTGAGCTGGCGGGCGTACCAGCCGTGATGCTCGTCTCGATGTTCTCCACGTCCTTGTCGATCGTGGGCGAAACGTCCATGCCAAAGGTTTCCTGGTACATGAGCATCTCGGGCTCGATCGCCATGTCCATGGAGCCTTCGCTCAGCACGCAGCGCGACGCCTTGCCCGATAAGATGATGTACAGGCCATCTACATACATGAGTAGAAGAGTCCA